TTGGGGTCCTGGGCGAAGAGGGTTAGTCTGGCCTTTGTCTCCGTGACCAGCAGTGCAAACACCACCGCTCTGAGGGCCGGCAACGGCGCCCCCTGACCCTTCTTCTCGTGCCACGATCGTCCAGCTTCGTAGAGTGACTTGAGAACTGCCCCCTGTCCGGTTTGTTCGAGATGGAACGTGCGCGAGCTGTCGAGCCGGACTCGATTGCCTTTTGCTGGTGTAGGTTCCCCCAGTAGCGAGCAGTCCGTAATTAGCTGAGCTCAGGACACCAGAGCGCCATACCTGGTACCTCGGGCGATTACTGACAATCCTTGCTGAATTGATGGTCTTTCTCAGCTGACTGTATTGACCCCTTGCCTTCTTCATCCGACGCGCACATGTTCTAGCTGGTGCGTCTCGGTACGCGATGATCGTCCCCAGGTATTCATGATACTTTGTTATGGGGACCCAGAGGTCTTCACCCATTTGCTGGAACTTAAAGTGCGGGGTTTTGTTTCTTCTGTGTTTTCGTTTGCTAAGAAACTTGTGTGCCTCTCTACCCTGAAGGTCATAAAGGATAACACATTTGTCATTGCTGAGCTTCATACCATATTCATTAAAGAGTGCAATGATTTTTTCGGTTCCAGCAAAACCCTTTTTTAGATCGGTGATATTATGCACCTCCCAAGTACCTATGGAATCATCAGCGAAAAATGTAAGCATTTTTCTCATCCACTCCATGCCCAGGGATTGTCCAATCTCTTCAATAATCGTCAACGTATGAATGACAAAGAGATAAGGAGCCAAGGTACACCCTGGTTTTATCCCACACGTGGAGACAATGCTATCCTCGTGAGAACCAATGCTGGAGAAGTACCTAGCGTGTCTGTAGAATTCCATGGACATGTGAATGAGGTCCTCCGGAATATGCATTTTCCGCACGCTGGCGGCCAGCTGTGTTCTTGGCACACTGTCGAATGCACCCTCGAGATCAAGCGAAAAACACATCCCTCCTGCGCAGGTCTTGGACTTAATGCCTTGATGTTGCTGGTAAATGCTGGCCTTACTTTCCAGCGCAATTTTCCTAGCCTGTCTCAGGTGATGATGCACTCTGAGTAGCGCATCCAGAACTCCTCTGCCCTCCGTGTACGCGAATTGTGGAAGCCCTTCTAATTTGGGGGTGATGTACTCATTCAGCTGGTCCCTAAGGATTCTATTGATCAGTCTCTCCAAGGCTGCGGCACGCGGGCCGTAGTTCCGGCAACCCAAGACCTGTTGGCCGATGCGGCGATAGCAATAGCTATGCTTTTGGCGCATAGTCTCCACGCTGCCGCAGGTGCAACATGTTTGGAAACCGCCTTCCTCATTGGGAGTTGCCCAAGATACTGCTCTAGTTGGACTGGATCAATCCAGAAGTTTTTATCCAATTCGCGCTAAGAAATATATGGCTCCCCACTACACAATTTTTTCTTGCTGTGTGCGATAAGCTCAGCAAGTTGTTGCTGTGGGGCCAGAATTTCTCCGGCGCCCTACCCCTCAGGCTCGTGCGGTCCTTCGGCTTCCATGGGGCCAGCTTTTTGGCACACTCCCAAAGTTTCCTTTGATCCCCTCTGACCTCGGCTTGGGCTGACTCCTGAGCAGTGTGGAGAATACGCTCTTTCTTAACTTCTTTGGTTTTGGTTTTGTAAGCCTTGGACGTCTTCTGGAAAAGTGCATGGTGCTTCCATTTGGCAAAGATGTTCATGAATGAGGCAGTCTTGGCTTCTCTGTACTTTGCATAAGTTCTCCACATTTCCTTGATCGAAAGCTGCACCTGAGGATCCTGCAACAATCTATGGTCTTCCCGTCTGTCAGGAGGATACACCTCAGCGATAGTGCTGACCATAATTTCATCCAGCTGGGCCGAGATCACCTCAATGTCTCCCGTGGCGGTTAACTCCTGAATTTTTGGGTCGACTTCAACTTGGAGCCGCTGAGCTTGCTGATCATGTAGTGTAACCGATCCCTGGAGTGTAGTCTTGTACGACTCATACTGCTTCTTTTGAGGGAGTCTGCCGGGCTCGATGTGTCGCACTGAGGCCCAGACCGGGATGTGATGATTTGCTTTCCACTTCCCGACCGGTGCCTGATGCCAAGGCTTGCTGGCCTTTGCTGTTTTGTCCGCATGCTGTTCTCTGCGTATAATGAAGTCAATCTGAGTTTGCGATTCTCCACTTTGACAAGTGTGAGCAGGTTTTGCGTGCCAGGTATTGAGCAGCGTCATGCCGTGACCCTGCAAATAACCCAAGAATTCTTTCTGATCCGGGGACGGTTTCCTGGCTTCCACAATTGCACTACCAATATGGTGTCTCATCCTCGTTATGGTGCAATTAAAATCGCCACCCACAATGAGGGTGTTTCTCTGGGGGATTTTGGTAGTGACTTGTCTAAGTTTTTTCCAAACGCCGTCTCTATATTTGGCGTTGCCTTCCTTATCAAGCTGCGAGCGCCAAACATGTTGATATAGATTGATAACATCAATGCTATTCCCCCTGATGTATTCGCACGTGCATAAGTCTTCCTTTCAGGTGCGTCTGCGCGCTGATCTGCTCTGGTCCACCTAGCCGTTTGTGAATTAACACCGCAAGGCCTGCCTTCGAGTCCGATGCGGCTGCGCCGGTTGTGACCACGAACCAGGGGCCGGACACAAAATCGGCTGCCCTCTCCCTTCCAGTGGGTTTCTTGCGCAAGACATCAACATGCTGTTGATTGTCTTGAAGCCAGGCCATGCACTCTTGCCATGCTGAGCCTGAAGCGCCGCTAATGTTAAAGGATATACACTTTACTCTTTTCCCAGTTCCCTGTTTGGCAGCGGAGGTTGCCGGCTTGGCGCTGCTTTTACTCACCTCAGTGGGTATTTGAGCAACTCTCTTTCGAGCGCGGCTTAGCTGCTCTGCTGTCTACCACCGTCCTCTGTACCTGGCGCCGCCCTCCTTCTCCGCTCGTGCGCGAACACGCCTGAGCGCACGCTTGGCTGTCCATCTCAGCCCATTAGCTATTGAACGTAACAATCCTCGCTTCTGCCACCCCTGTCTCGTGTATAATGCAAAGCAACATCAAGACGAACAGGTGCGTTTTCACTTGTTGGCGATGGCTACTGGACTTGGGACCAGCGCGGCTCTTGCTGCTAAGACCGCCGCTGGTGGAGTTGACTGTGGCCCAAAAATATATGCACCTCCTGGCCTTGACGTGATCCAGTCCAATCCAATAGTGCATGCAGAGTAAAAGGCAAAACATGAGCAGAGTTGCTACCATACGGGTCGGGGCCTATTCGGTACAGAGACCATTGCAGCACTCGAGTCCTCCTTGCTCTGGCCCTCTGGGTGATCGACCGGTTGGATGCTCGAGGAAGGAGCTTGGGTCCTGCCGGGATACATTTGGGCATGGGTCTGCTGGCTTGCCTACCTGCCTGTCAAGTGTAGCATTGCGAAAGCAACAGCTTGCATTGAGCGCAGACATGTATGCTCGCGAAACGGACGATCTGGAAGGGCCGAAATATACGGCTTCCCTTGGACTGTACACGGAGGACCGCCTTTGCTACAGCTTTCACGTCAGGTGGTCGACCTCCTTCGGCGTGCACTACTTCGTATGACCCAACTACCGAAACCATTTCGATAGCTTTGGCCGGTACAGTCTCGCTGGTCATGTAGTAGCCGCTGGCTGACCTGTACCATTGGACATCCATTTTCTGTGGTGAAATGTGGAGCACGACATCCACGCCCGGCGGGTAGAATTTGGCGGACGAGGGGCTGTCCGGCAAACAATGCACATTGTCTGGCCTTCCCTCAACCCACCTGGTCGGATTCCGTGCTTTTTTGATCTTTGATCCTTTCTCAGCTGGTGCTCTCGACGACGTTGCTGGCAGGTGCGATAAGGTCCTTGTTGTTCAGTAAGTGGTAGGCGAGACGCTGAAAGAACTTGCTGCTCGTACACTTCCCCTCCTCCCCAAAAGCCCTCCCGTGCCCCATACAATCCACTCTTTTCAAGCCAGGCATTACTCGCACGGCTGCCCAACGTACCTTGGGCAGCAAGCACAGCAAGCACAGCAAGCAGCAAGCACACTTCGCCACAAGAGACGCTCTAACGTCGTCGCTGGCCGTTAACAAGAAGGCTCAGCTGCCGTACGTAAGCAATCGAAGCAGAGCGGAGAAAGGGCTCGCTATTTTTCTGAGAACTCAAGGCCTGCAGCGCTCGTATTCTGAGCTTCTTGCCGCATGTCGGAATGAGGGATCTAGTCCTTCCGGGGCAAGCTCTGAAGCACATTGCTTTGGGTTTCACAACTTACAAGCGAACCAACACAAGTCGGCGTGCAGTCAAAAATCAGAAACCTGCAAAGGAACGCGGGAAGATACGTCAAGAAGAACTTCAGGTGGATTTTAAAAACCCTGTCGTCTGTCTCAGAGCCATTTAAATTACTGGGGCACATTCTCTTGAAAGGGACGCTGCGCGGCGCTGCCCGCCTCCAAGAAGAGCTGCGCATGAGATGCTGTGATTGGTGCCAGTGGTCTGCTGGCGTGAGAGGCTGAAGCCAAGACTTGAAGGAATGAAAGAGCTTGCAAAGCCACTGAAGCAAACCTAGAATCTTGTCCAACGTTCTACGATGGTATTCGTGACGAGTCACGATAATGAATGCTAGCAAAATCCTTTCCTGCAAACGATCGAAGGTCTTTTCCATATATCATAATTACATGGCATTTCATGAAATATTTCATGAGTATGGTAGTTGCATCTATGATAATGGCATGATGATATCGTGGCCATTTTGGATTATAGACCTCTTTAAAGGGAGGGCAAGTTTTGAATATCCTCCCTTCCTCTTCCGATAGGGAGCTAGACGGC